CACACACACACACACACACACACACACACACACACACAGTCCTGCTCTCTGATTGGCTGTCAGGTGTGGACCTCCAGGTGTTTTAACCTGCAGGTAGTTGAGTGAGTTTTCTTCATGAACTCGTCTGTGGTTCCAGGAGTTTGGAGGCTGAAGCAGAGATCGGAGAGCGACCGGAGGACGGACCAATCAGAGGAGGAGGAGGGCAGCAGCTCCGTGTGAACGTCATCAGAACGTTTAAATGACCTGGTTTAATGCTGCTCATCAGTCAGATCAAGTCAAAGACCAGGTCAGACTGGGGATGAATCTGGACCTACTGCTCTGAACAAACCAGGACGGACTTGTAGAAGATCTGACAAACCGTCCTGGAACCTTCAGCTGCAGAACGATGAAGAGGAGCCACATGACCTGACCGAGGCTCTTCACGTTGTCCTGAATCAGAAAAACTAATTAGAATGAAGGTTTTTATTTTGTCAAATTGATTCACAAAGGACACAGTTCTTCTGTTTTGTTCGTTGGTTGTTTTGCACGTTCAGTCTGTTCAGTGACATGAAATCTGCCCCAACGTGAAACCGGTTCTTCTTCTTCCCTGTGTTCACACACACAGCTCATATTTGCTCACATGTATAAAGAGTTCAAGGTTTTCCAATTGTTCTCCTTTTATTAAATGATTTGTAAAATAGAACTCATGACTCAATTAATAATAAACTTGGATTGTGTTTCAGACCACATGAGTACAGAAGTAATAAAATAATAATAGAGAAAATACATGTTTTCACATAGGTTACCACTCCTGTTATTAGCTTTTTGTTTTGTTGGTGTTGAACATTTAAATCATGTCCAGCGTCTCGGTCGTGTTTTGTAGGATTTTAATGTTGAAACGGTTTCACTCTTGTCAGTTTACTGGTGTGTAGATGCTACAGTGCTGATGTAGAAACAGGATTTACTGTATACATATATACTCGTTTCAGAGCTCAGGTTTCTGATCTGAGTTTCACCTCTAGCTGTCTGTCAGGGCTAAGTTAGCTTCCTGCTAACAAAAACGACGCCATGATTATGACGGAGCCGCTGGCGTCGTGATGTCATCACGTAGCTCGGTGTGGTAGCCGGCGGCGCCATCTTGTGGTCAGACTGCGGGAGCTTTCTCAGCTTCAGGTCTCTGGTTTTAGAAAGTGGCCTCGTTCGGTTGGAAGGGGTACGTTTTTCATTATTTCTATGCCTTAACAGTTTTCTAGCTGTGGTCTGACTCGGTTGCTCCGGTTGTTTTGCAGTTTTAGACGGTTGTGAAGAGTTTCTGCCGCTGACTGATAACCCGCAGAACATGTCGTCCACGTAGATAATGTAACATTGAAACAGCGCCACTTACCCGTCAGGCCTGTGTAGCGGACAAGCGGGGTACTGCAGCTGGCAGCGCCTATTGGTCTCTATAGTAGAGAAAGTAAATCAGAACACGCCCAGCATGCTGTACGCCGTTCCTCGTTAGTATAGTGGACAGTATCTCCGCCTGTCACGCGGAAGACCGGGGTTCGATTCCCCGACGGGGAGGTTCGTTTTGCGTATGTTTGGAAGTTTTGGCAACGATTATAAAATATTACGTTTTTTTGATGTAGCACAATATGCTTTCCAGTAATATATCCAGCCTGAAACCGGTTAACAGGCAACAGGTGTATTTGTTCAAGCACTTTAGAGGCAAAAGTTTTTGTTAAACAAATGATTCAGAAAAATGTTTAAATATCTTGTGAAGTGTGCAAGACTGGATAAGCAGCTAATGCAACTTGAAACTGATAACTTTCCAGAAAGCACCATTAGACAGAAGCCTTTGTCGTCATGTGGTCACAGAGCTGTGATTGGCTCGTCGGTCACTCTGTCGTCATCACCTCTCCTCGTTAGTATAGTGGACAGTATCTCCGCCTGTCACGCGGAAGACCGGGGTTCGATTCCCCGACGGGGAGTAAGATTATGGCATCATAAATGTTTTGACTGGAGATCCTGTTCGAGCACATTCGGCTTCAAGAAAAACAACCTGAATCACAGATTTGGACAAAATAGGCTGAAGTAGTCACGTCTTTAGGTTAAAAATAGGGTTTTAAATGTTCTAAGTTTTAGTACACTTCCCTCTTTCTGTGACTGGCAAACCTGAGCTCTTAATAATAACACACACAGAGAATCATCTTCAGCTTCTCAGCGTTAGAATGTGTGACATGAGGTTCCACTGGAAAAATTTACCTAATCCAGGTGTAAATGTGTAATATTTGATCAAAATCCTTTTATTCTGCATGTCCCATATCAGACAAATCCACCCCTGATTCTCCAGGACCCACTCACCTGTGACCAGCATTAAAAAGTTCAGCATTTCCAGATGAACTGCAGACAGACATGAGTGTGGAGGCTGATTTGAAATATTAATTGATTCTTTACAGTGTTGGTGACACCTGTGGACATACCTGTGGAAATATGGCAATTGTAGGGTTTTTTCTATGTGTGCAAAATATGTTGTCAAGTCAGTTCTGTTCGTATAGTGCAGTTTGTAGCATATGCCATCTCACAGCGCTCAGCATGGTGCGGCAAAGACCTCACAGAGTGTCCAACAGAGAGTGATTTCTGTGATTCTACGTCAGACTGCTCAGAAGACATTCCTGAGTTCTCTGTTCTTCTGTATGGGTGTTCTGTTCCATGGAGGAGCAGAACCATGCAGATTTGTTAATATTATTAAACTGTTGTATTTTATCAGATGCACAGTCACCACCCAAAGGCCGGTTCTGAGCCAGGAAACCCTGATAATACATCCAGACACACTAAATATGGCAGGACTTGGTCAAGGCTAGACAGTTAAACATGTGCTCTACAGCATTTAAACCTTTTCATTTGTAGTTTTATATTTCTCATCCTGATATGTAACACTACACCTGCATATAACACCGGGTCCCTGAACGCCTCATGTCCAAGCGTTTCCGTAGTGTAGTGGTTATCACGTTCGCCTAACACGCGAAAGGTCCCCGGTTCGAAACCGGGCGGAAACATCATTTATTTTCCCCTTTGGACATGTTGTACACTACAAGGCGTCGGCTCTGTGTGACCACTCTTTATTTAGACCCAGTGTGTGTCGCTGATCCGGTTCTGAAGGTGGAAACGTGACGAGTCGAGCTGGTGTTCCCGGTGCGTCCCTGAACGCGGCCTTTAGGGGGCGTGTCCGCGTGAGGCTCTTTCCCGGTGTGCTAGCTGCAGCTGCTCTCTGGAACCGCACACCCGGACGTGTTCCGACCCACCGGCACACCACCAGAGGGACCGGCTCCGGCACTACACGGTAGGTGCCTGCTCCCGCCCGGTGCTCGCCCTGAGCCGGGCAGAGCCCCGGTCCGTGCTAAGCTATAGCTAGCCCTCCTGCGGGAGGCTAACGGCAGCGGTGCCGGTCGTTTTACGGTTCCTGCAGCTTCCGTCCAGCTCGTTTAGCCGGTCGTTGGCGGACAGCAGCGGTCCGGACTGCTCCTCCGTCCCGCTCCGTCCCGCTCCACAGGCCTCCCAACGAGTCACGTAGTTCAGACTTCGGTGCACAAGTTGTGTCTGCATGCGGCGGCCATTTTTGTGAAGAGACCAGCTTCCTGAAGTACCGAAGTTATGAGAAGAAAGAAATCTAGTATATAAATAGTTTGGTGTAGTGTCAGGGTGACAGAAAAACTAAAGCATACGGTGAGAAATAAATGTAACCAGGCTTCCGTCCTCCATCTCCTTCATTAAAGAAAAGACTAAACTCACAGCAGTCACTCAAATAACTAGGAAAAAGTAATAATAAATAAAAATTTGCTGAATTATAATTTAGTGAAACAAACCAAACTGTGGTGGACCAATGAGAGGCCTTTGCTGATGAGCAGTGGACCAATGAGAGGCCTTTGCTGATGAGCAGTGGTCCAGAACACCTGTCAACAGGTGCACAAGTCTGACTGAGAGCTACAGAAACACCTGATGGCAGTGATTGGCTCAGAGGGTTGTTCAGGTAGATGCTAGTTCACGGCTCCATCAGGCTGGTTTGATTATTATTATTATTTAAATATTTCTATTGAACCACAATTCAAAGCAACGTCACGATGTTCATTAAATCTTTATTTGTTATTACTTTTGTCCGTTTCAGCTTGTTCCAGTGACTGAAGCTGTTGTTTTCCTCCTTTAATGGGAGGCTGTAGGTAGAAGTGCTTTTATTCAACTGATGATTGTTTCCCTGTTAAGTTTAATCCAGATATGTGGCATTATTCGCCTTAAAGAATGACTGAAAGGTTTTGTAGCTGATGGATTAATCAGCTGATAGTTTAAATGTCCAGTAACACCTGCGTCGTTCTTGTTGCTGTATGTTGAAGAAGCTGTGGTGTTACAGCAGCACGAATATTCAGCAAAAGGGTAAACGAAGCAAAAAGACACCACACAATATAGGGTAGGGTATAACATGACGGTTAAATACAGTACAATAAGATTTAAAAAAAAAAAAAAAGATAGATAGATAAAAATATAGAAAAAGTCAACAAATCTAGATCTAAATATTGAAACTTCCACCAGAAAGACATCAGAGCAGCTACAAAACTAAAGTGAAAGAAAATCCAGGTTTCCTCCTGCTGGTTCTTGATCGTATATTTAACCAGACGTGGACTGAACGAGGGGACTCGATCATCATAGATAAGGAACCAACTAGTTTGAAACCACGAGGAGTTCTGAAGGATCTGCAGCTTGTTCCTGCCCTGTGTTTAACTGACAGTATGCATAGTTAGAAAGATCAGTAAATACAAATCAGCAGGTTTCTGGACCAGACAGAGGGTTCACCTCAGCCTTTTATTTTACACTAACAGGTGTTCTGTTCATTTGTCGTCTCACGGCTCCACACTGACACCTAGTGGTGAAGGATGTGCACTGCCTCAGCTTGATCAAACCAGTTCATGATGCTGGACCTCTTCCACCCAGAACCTGTCTTCATTTAGAAGCTGAAAGTTCAATAAAGTCACCTTTCATTAAAACTTCATCAGTTGAATTCATGTTTCAATCAAACTCAAACGCTCTGCAGAGCCGAATGTGACGTCGAGTTTAGTGTCACAAAAAGTCTAAATGCTCAAAAGTATTTTGTGTACCAGAAACCACGACTGTGTAATACTCAAAACCATAAGAACTGAATGCTCTGACCCCATTACCAGGGTTTGGGTTCATATCTGATGAGATGTCTTCATAAAGTGTTTCAGTGCTTCAAATCAGAGTCGAAACCGTTTACACCTCGTGGTAGTCATTCATGTTTCTGAATACATGTGTGTCACAGGTTTTGTTTCCTTACAGTGTCGCTAGAAGTGTGTGGAAGAAAAACTGTAAATGTGTTTAATTTTAAGTTGGTTGTGAAGTCAGATTTGAAATAAGGAAAGAAATGTTGGGTGTCTGAGAATCACTGCAGGTCTGATCAACGTCTTCGTTCAGCTGCTGATTTGTGTTAACCAATGTGCTGCTTATGGTAGCGAGTGAGGCCCCAGTTCGCCGTGTTCTGGGTCATCGACCAACAGCTGATCCGATCACCAGGCTTAAACCACTCTGACAAGCCTCAGCATCAGAACTGTAGGAAGCACACAGCTTCAGCATCAGAACCTCTGACTGAACTCAGACTCTTGTGTCTTTATTCGCAGGCTGAGACGACGCAGCCACCAGGATGCTATCTGCAGCTGGAATCAGCTCCTGAGATGTTGTTCAGGGCACGAAGCTGTTGATGTTTCACCTCATCGGCCTGCAGGAGACTCGACTGGACTTCACCTGGCAGAACCCTCCACAGCTGGTCCGTTTTGGGGTTTGGACGCCGACATGGATGGCATTGACGACTGCTACGTCTGGCAGCGGCGCATCGCTCACGGCACCCGGCATCAGAAAGGCGCCGTTCCCTTCCCGGAGTCGGTTAAGATCGGCCTGGAGTTCAACGCGGCGCTGGAGAGGAAGGACAAGCTGGACCGGAGCCTGCTGACGAACGGCGTCATGCTGGAGATTTCTAACTTCGCCAGGACGGTGACCAAGTCCGAGAAGTACTTCCTGTTTGAGATGCTGGAGTTCAACTTCGACCTGGGCGTGGACGTGGACAACGGCCAGCAGTGCTACGCCTACTCGCTACGAGTTCACAACAAGATCAAGCAGCTGAAGGAGCAAATCAAGCTGAAGGCCAGCAGGTGGAAAGAGGTGTTTACGCTGCCAGATCCGAGCTTCACGTCGGCGTCTGCAGGGTCGGAGGTGCTGAGGCAGTACTTCCCCAAACACAACACAACTGTGGACGTGTCACTGCTCAGCGACAGCAGCCAGAACCGCCAGAGGGCCGACAGCAGCAGCTCCCACCTCACCAGGAAACGAGGAGTCCGGGCCAAGCGAACAGAGGAAGCATATCCTTTCTGCGCCGCACTCGGCGTGACTCTGGCCGTCAGACCGAACCAAGCGGCCAAACAGAAGCTCGACCAGAACCTCCTCACCAACGGGGTGATGCTGGAGCTGCTGGACTTCTCCAGAGAGCTGTGTGGAACGCACACCCGCATGGTCTTCGACTTGGTGAAGCAGAACTTTGGTTTCGAGATGAACAAACTGCTGTTCCGAATGCAGCTCAACAGGACGGTGGAGAGAAGGAACACCTGCCTGACCGCCGAGGACAAGGACGCCTTCTGTAAGGAGCTCTTCAGATTCCAGCCCGAAAAGAAACGTGCCAAGAGGAAAAAACCTGATGCCGATGAGCAGGAGGTAGAAATCCTGACCAGCCGGAGGAGGCGGACGCTGAGGCAGAGGAGCGACGCCGGAGAGCCCTGGGAGGACGACGACGACCTGTCCTACATGTGTCCGGTTGACTCGGAGCCAGAAACCATGTCAGGAGCATACGCTGGGCCATCAGATGTGACGCTGGACATGTGTTGGTCAGACGCAGAAACAGACTTGTCAGAGAACGTAAAGCAGGAAGAGGAGGAAGTGTTCATCTCGCCGACGCTGCTGCAGAGTCCCGGCTACAAGTCTGAGGGTCTGAGGTCAGACGCAGAGAAGGAGAAGCTGTGGCAGAGACGAGCTGATCGCACAAACAAGATCCTGACGTTCACTCGAGTCAACGACCTGTTTGTCCACTGCAGACAGATCGGTTTGGACTTTAACGTTGGTTCTCACAAGAAGCAGAACTTGGATCTGCGGCTGTTCACCAACTGGGTGCTGTGGGAGGTCTACAAGTTTGGAACAGCCATGAAAAACAGTTTACGCCATTTCTTACTTGAGATTCTGCACAACAACTTCCAGCTCCCGCCCCAAGACGAAGCACAGGAGCGTAACTTCCTCATTTACATGGCGACAAGGGAGAGGGTTCTGCAGAAACACAGCGACAGGCAGAACATGGAGTTCCTCTGCAGGCCTTTCAAGTTCCCTCAAGTTTACAACGTGAGCAGCAGCTTGAAAGACGTGACGACGGAGCAGCAGGAGGTCCCGCAGGCCGCCGACGAGACGCATCCCTTCTGTAAAATGATCGGCCTCAACCTGTGGTCGACTGGGGAGCGTCCAGCCAATCAGAAGCTCCACCTGGCCGTCCTGACGTCAGGTGCCGTGATGGAGATGTTCAGCTTCGTCAGGCTGCTGCGTGGAAACGTCCACGACACCGTGAGCGACGTCCTCGAGCACAACTTCGATCTGGACCTGCAGAGCGGTCGCACGGAGGTGGCACAGGTGATCCAGAGGTGGTTCATGACTCAGCAAAGCCTGATGAAGAAGCAGCGCTTCTTGAAGGCGAACAGGTGGTTGAACACGGCCGTCCCCCTGAGCCGACCGTCGCTGAGCGGCATCGACCCAAACACCGACGACTCTGAGCCCGACAGCAAACCTGTGAGTGGAGGCGAGCAGCAGCAGAACAGGGCTTACAGCATCTGCCAGCAGATCGGACTGGACCTGGACATCAGCCGTAAACCAGAAGCCAAAGCAAAGCTGGACCTGCAGGTTCTGACCAGGGCCGTCCTGTTCGAGGTACACCAGTACGTCGAGCAGAACTGCAACCGCTACGTTCCCGCTCTGTACGAGATCCTGGAGTACAACTTCGACCTGAGCTCTCAGAGCCACCGCAGGGTGGAGTTCGCCTGGTCCATCGCCTCGCAGGTCATCGCCATGGCAGCCAAACACGGCAGGAGGGGAGGATACCTGGACGCCGTGTTCCAGCTGCCCTTCGAGGGCGGCGAGGCGGCGCAGGTCGGCTGCAAAGACGAGCCGCAGGACGACTCGGACCAGCCGGACCTCAGCGAAGATGCCGACGTCATGTTTGTCCGTAAACTGAAGCCCGTCGACATCGAGGTGGAGATCGACTAGCTGCTGGACACCACACTGTAGATGCAGCCCCAGGTCAGAACTCTGTCGGTCTGTGGATGGTTTGGCTCATGAGAACCTTCTAGAACTGGAGGTAATGACATTTAAAAGCTGAAGTCACAGCGTGTGCACAAGTGTTGCTTTAAAGAATCCCTGTTGGTTCATACAGGGCTTAGTTCTGTCAGTGTCTGGCCTTCGTGAATGTGGGGTTTATTGTGGCGCTGCTGAATAACCAATCTGATCATCAGTCTCTTCTAGCAGGAAAAATAAAGTCACGTTTTCACCAACTGATCCACATCTGAGAAGCAGGTCTGTTTGTCTGTGGAGATGTTTGAGTTAGAAAATGACGAAGCTTCTAGTTGGACGTTTGGTTCAGCTGCAGGGATTCACAAGCTGCTGTTCATCATCAATCATCTCTTCATCACAGCCATGTAAATATAGAAAGATCATCACTTTAGCAGGTGTTTTCATTATCGGTCAGTCTGCAGTCTGAACAGATCTGGTGTAGTTTCCCCAGACGTGGTTTATCCAGTCAGCCAACATCGACTGATCAGAAGATCAGCTCATGGCTGCAGCCGACAAAACGACTGGTCAGTGGCAGAAAGCGGCCGTCTGCCAGCATCTGTGGCCACTTCCAGACTGAAATCTGTGTTTGTGTTGCACACGCTGGAGCTCCTGAAGCTCGATGCCACGCTCAGAGTGAATAATCATCTAACTGTGAACGAAGCCCTCTAAGGCTCCATGTTTACATCCACACAGTGATTACAACAGATCTGCTCTGGAAAACCTTTGGCTGTAGTTTGAAGCTGGATTCAGGATAATTATTCAAATTAAAGCAGTTTTAGATGCTTAATTCCTCATTTGCATATTTAAGCCACCAAATTCCAACAACTTGTAACACAGAAAATACTCGTTGTTGTAAGTGATGAACGGGACGTTTGTCTGAATAATCAGAGTTTCTGTGTCGAGTATTGATCTGAACAAAGCGTTAAGTTCTGCTGGACGAGGTTCAGACGTTGCTCCAACCTGCAGACCGTGTGTGGAGATCGAGCTGCGTCCAACAAGGCATTCTGGGATGTTTCCGTGTGCTGTAACGAGAGAAGCGGCTCTACTTTAATCAGGTTACAGTCTGCTGTCGCCACGGTTACAGACCTTATTAGAGTTGATTACATAACTAATAATGCACATTAAAACCAAAGGAGTCCATTTGCATTTAAATGATTCAATTTAAATAGTAAAAATAATTAAATGAGACTAATTGGCGCGTGGAATTTCATTAGTCTGCCTCCAGATGACGAGTGCATTAATTTTTAAATCGATTATGATGATTTTTAATAAGGCTTCTTACTCCTGGTTGCTTTTTTCCCATCATGCACAGCTCCCTGTCCTGCAGCTGCCGTTAATTCAGCAGGACTCGGTTGTTTCTTAAAGGCTTCGGGACATTTTTAAGCTCAGAAACAACCAGATGAAGCTGTTCAGCGTCCACTAGATGGAGCCACAGTCCACTGATCAGCGCCGCCGCCGAGGAGAGAAGACGTTCAACGGCTTCTACCACAGGGTTGAACTTGTGTGTGGAGTGGTTGTAGAGAACAGGGATGCTTTCCGCTCAAAGTACTGGAGCATGTTGACTCCAGGAGGACTCAGTCTGGGTCGGTTCAGACAGAACACATGCTGCTGCAGCGTTTCAGGTTGTGTTCACAGTTTACTTTTTGGTCATTTCAAACCCAACTGCTGTAAAATATAGAATTTTAAAAATGTAATTTGGTTGATTTTTTTTGTTTGTTTTGTTTTTTTTTTAATTTCAAGTTTCCAGACGTGAGAATTTTTAAGTTATCATTTGTTTAAAAAAATAAATAAAAAGACCTGAGAAGCCGTTTGTCAGGGTTCAGTATCTCCAGAAGTAGAACTCCCTCAGAAACGATAGTTTTTGTTTTGTGTCCCCAGAAAGTTCCTGCTAGTGTATAAATGGACTCCACAGAAACTGGTCAGACTTTAACATCAGATTCTGCTGATGGAGCCTCAGAAGGTGGAGACATGTGGACCGAACACCGACGTGGTGCAGCTCTGCTCTGTGGAGGGCCTGAAGGGATGTATCATGCAGAATCAAACGGAGCACTTCAAGTGTTTTTAATTGTTCTTTAATTTAATTTACAGAAATGCAGAACAGAACTGTTCTACATACAGAACTTCCCCTTAGAGATCAGTACAGTATTCCACTCTGAACTGCCCTGCAGACGGCATCATGGCTGACCAGCTCCCTGCAGAGTCCTCAGGCAGCATGATTCTGTCTGTCAGGGGAACTGCTAGCCTAGCTTAGCACAAAAACTGCAGGCAGAGGGAAATTGTTTGCCTAGCTTAGCAAAAACACTGGAGACAGAGGAAACCTGTTAGCCTAGCTTAGCACAAGCACTGGAGGCAGAGGAAACCTGTTAGCCTTGCTTAGCACAAACACTGGAGGCAGAGACAAACTGCTAGCCTAGCTTAGCACAAACACTGGAGGCAAAAGCAGAGGAAACCTGCCAGCCTAGCTTAGCACAAACACCGGAGGCAGAGGGAA